GCTTCTTCTTCAAGCTCCTTTCTTCTTTTCTCAATAAAATAACACACAAACACTCTCAAATGGCTTCTAGAACACAAAGGCACACAAAGGGAGCTATGGTTTTCGTGGTGGCTGGGTAAGAGTGAAGGGTGGCTGAACCAACAGGGGTTATGTTCTTTATATAGGGGGCAAACTATCATTTTAGGGTTTAATGATTTGCACACGTACGTTGGGCGTACGTTCTTGGCTTCCCGCTTCCTTTACACGAGTACGCTGGGCGTACACCGCAATGTACGCCCCACATACGCAGCTCCTTCAGCCCACAAGCAAGGCCCAAAAACCCAATCCAAACCACAATCCACACTTTAATATGATGAATAACAATAATAGCTGGAAAATCCCGAGTGCTACAAAGGTGGTGTTCAAGACGACCGAGTTGATTCAGGAGGTGTGTGACAGGCTACGGGTCGCACAGAGTCGTCAGAAAAGCTATGCTGACCAGCGCCGATCGGACCTTGAGTTCCAGGTGGGAGATTTCGTCTTGCTAAAAGTGTCACCGTGGAAGGGTGTCATTAGGTTCGGGAAGAGGGGCAAGCTAGGGCCTTGGTACATTGGACCATTCAGGATTATCGCCCGGGTAGGTAAGGTGGCTTCTCACTTGGATCTTCCGGACGAGCTTAGTCAGATACACAACACCTTCCATGTGTCCTAACTCTAGAAGTGTGTCACAGACGAGGCCGCAGTTGTTTTTCTAGACGACATTCAGGTGGACGAGAACCTTAACTACATTGAGAGATCCATTGCGATAGGAAGAACAAGGCTCTTCGGAACAAGGAGGTGAAGTTAGTAAAGGTGCAATGGCAGTATCGAAGGGGATCCAAATGGACATATGAGCAGAAAGAGGAGATGTGAGATCACTACCTAGACTTATTTGCGCCAACAGAATTTAAGGACGAAGTCTAGTTCAAGTGGGGAAGATTTGTAACGCATGTTCCAGGTATCATTTAATTTTCTAAGTTTATAGGGTTTTGTGCTAGGACTTAATGAGTTGGGTAGCTGTAAGTCGTCGAGTAGATATCATTTATGAGGATGCAAGATTTAGATCCAAATCGATGAGTAAGAAGGCCCCGACTCGACGAGTAGGCACTATAAAGGAAAACCCTAATTTTCAGGGGTTTGTACCCTACTTATAGAACTTGTGGCTCCTTTTTAGCCTTTTTCATCGTTCTTACAGTCCAAAAAGAAACACTACCCGCATCTTGGTGCTTTCTTGAGTGTGTGTGAGCCTTGGAGAGTGAAACTTGTGCTTTTTAGAAGCAAACTTGAAGGTTGAAGAGATTAAAGTAACGAGATGGCTTTGGATCCGACATCTACCTATTGTTAGCATCCATTTGGAGGTAAAAAGTTTCTACCTTGATCTTTATTTGTTTAGATCTCATCTTATGGAAGAATATGGTCACTTTTGGTGCAAAAATGGTGTCATACTTAGATTTAGACTTGTCATGAGGATATGGTTCCAGATTTGGACTCCTCTAGGTTTTTCATGACATAAAGTTGCTTCCTTTACCTAGTCTAAGCCCTTTTCCATGTCCTAAGTGTTGTGTGAACCCTAGTTTTAGTGTTTTAGCCTTGTGAAGCCTTGCATGCACATAGAGTTTGGAAATTTATGTGGTAACTACACCATAAGAGGTTGGATCATTAATTTGGAGCCTTGGATTCCACTAGGAAGGACTGAACACAAAAAGGACTGAAGGGACTCGACGAGTCGCTTAGCCAAATCGACGAGTCGGACAAGGTTTACCCATTTTTGGGATCCTGAGTGATCTCGGTGAGCTGGTTAGGGGTTTCGGTAAACAGATTTCAGTTTAGAGTTTTCGGCCCTTGGATAATGAAAAAGTCGATGAGTTACTCGGGTAACTCGGTGAGTTGACTTGGGATTTCAGTTTTCTAGACTCTAAAGGAACTCGATGAGTTTCCAGATTCACTCGATGAGTTAGGGTCAACAAGGACTGTTGACCTTAACTGTTGACTTGGACTTTGACCAGGGTTGACCAAGTTTGACTTTGAGGGTATTTATGGTATTTTGGGATTGTGACAAGTTAATCACATGATGATTATAGGCAGTTGAGTTGGAGCTGTGCGTTGGGACTTATCTGATCTTATCTTGTCAATTCAACATTCTTGAGTAATGAGTCTCCTCACAATACCAATTGGTTGAAGGCACCAAGGCCAACACATTTTGTGATATGTGGTACACTCGTTATAGAGATATGTGGTATGATAGTTAGTTATGCTCAGTGTTACGCTAGTTATATATGTGATACTTGTAGGGAAGACCACGGGGGGAGCCCATAACACTTGGATGTAAGACCATGTGGGGGAGCCCATGGATTTTCAATTAAAGACCATGGGAGGAGCTCATGGCACCTGGATGTAAGACTATGCGATGGCTTTCCAGCTAAAGACCTTCGGGGGGGGGGGGGGGGGAGCTCATGGCATCTTGCAGTAAGACCTTGGAAGGAACCCACGACATCCTTATATGTTTGTATGCACGACTTATATGGTTTATGTACCTTTTATAGCTTATATGATTATGTGATTATGTGGATTGTGTGGTGTATGCTCTAGGGAACTCACTAAGCATTAGCTCACAGTTTGTTGATTGTTTAAGGTACTTCTAAGCCTAAGGGCAAGGGAAAGGCTTAATGGAGCGACACAAACTCTTTATCAGGCGTTTTTATTGGACAATCTAATGTTTGGAATAATATTGTTGATGTCATGAATTTGAAAATTGGGTCGTTACACTCTAGCTGCTGCCTTGATGGCTTCCCAAACTAACAATTTCTAGCACAATATCCAATTAGCACTAAGTTCTAAACCATGAACCATAATCAAATCTTGGGGTAAAATGACCATTTACCCCTGGCCCATCTAGGCCCATAACTAAGGCCAAGCCCAAAACTCATAAGGTCAAAACCATAAGATCCATAAAAGCCTAATATATGGCCCAATTTTCAATTGGGCTCAAAGCCTTACCGGGTCTATCTTTTAGGATCCATTCTGCACTTTATAACTCTCTAAGGGTCAACCTTGGTCAAAATCAAAGTCAAAGTCAACATTCAGGTCAAAGTCAACATTATGGGTTGACTCAATTCACCGAGTTGACCATCAACTCGTCGAGTTTCATAAATCAGAAAACTCTGAAATCGTGATCTGACTCGTCTAGTTCTTTCACGAACTCGTCGAGTTTATCCTATCCACAGGGTCAAGACTTTCTCATTCAAATCGTCGAGTCCATCCTTGAACTCGTCGAGTCTTCCTTTTATAGAATCGGGACATTTCAAGCCAACTCGTCGAGTTCCACTATGGACTTGACGAGTTCCTCAGTCTGCTAAACCATCTTAAGGGAGTAAGTCCTTATCCCTCAGATCTAAGCTCCATACTTCCACTACTTACTGAAAATGCCATTTTAAGGGTAAAGTTTCCACCTTTACCTGTTAATACTCTTCCTTAAGATATATAGCTCAAAACCTAACTCTTAAGGACCTAGATCTTGGTCCACAAGCCATAAATACTTCAAGATAGGATGTACAAACAACGATCTGGACCTTGGAGACTAAATGAACGCGTAAAGTCTCCACCTTTCTCTCCATGCATGGCCTTTTGGAGCTTAAAAGGCCAAAATAACATCCTAAAGCTTACATGGGGCTTCTATGGTCATAAAGTTTGCACCTTTATGCCATAAAAGCCCTCCATGGTTCTAGATGTGATGATATAATCACTTGGGACATCCAAGTCCCAAAAGGTAGCATTCTTGGACCAAAACATGGAGAAATCACTCTAAAACTAGATCTAAACATTGAATAGACAAGATGTTTATACCTCCAATGAACTAGAAATGAAGCTAGACTTCTGGATCTACTCTTCTCCAACCCTTCCTTCCTCATTCTTCAAGTGTCTTCTTCTTCAAAACCACAAATAATGCACCAAGAATGGTTCAAAACTCTCAAAAGTGTATTAGGGTTTCGTAGCTAGGGTTTGGAATGATGGAGGCTGTAAATGAGGCCAAGCTATAGGGTTATGGTGTTTAAATAGGGTGCAAAACCCTTAAAATTAGGGTTTCATCTACTAGCACCAACTCATCGAGTTGAACCTCCCCAACTCGTCGAGTTGATCTTCCAAAACGTGCCTATCCCATACTTCCTACTCGTAGAGTTTTTGCCTTAAACTCGACGAGTTAACCTTTAGAATTAATGTTTTACTTCCATAACTACCCCTCTAAATTCTGGGTGTTACAGTAGGGCTGTTGCGTCGAGGATTAACAACCTCTGTTCTTCACAATATGAGAGAGAGAGAAAGAGAGAGAGAGAGAGAGAGAGAGAGAGAGAGAGAGAGAATCTAAAAATTTTCTTTTAAATATAAAAAAATTTAAATAAATAAAAAAACGCAAAATGAAAAACCAAAGTGTAAAGTCATTATTATCAAAAAGCTTAAAATAAATTGGATCAAAATCGCAAAAAAATAAAAATATTTTGACCATAAGTACTAATCCAAACTTTTTTTTGCCCAAAGTAACAATTTTCACTTAATCACAAATTCTTGCAATTTTGTCTTTATAGTAACTATTTTGGTACAGCTAATTAGACCAAAGGTTATTCAGTTTTAGAATGGCTTGAACAAAATAGATTATTGAAACTTCTAAAATGATTTTTTTTATTGATCATAACAACATATGTACTTACTTTTCTTAACCATCACTCACATTTCTCTCTCACAATAGCAAAAAGTATGTGAAATTATAATTAAGCATTTTGTGTATGTTGCTAACATAGTATATAGATAAAAGAAAAGTAACCAAAATTATAAACATGATACGCATTTCTTACATTCTCAAGCACTACGAAGCTTAGTGATAATGCTTTATTCCAGAAATTAACGTCGCTAAGGATGTGGTGAGTGCCAACGTGAGACATGAGTAAAATGATTACAATGACTAAAAATATCGCAACCAATTATTGACTGCTGGATATTCGGAGTCTTTTATAAAGACAGCTCCTTTCTTTTCTACCCACAACAACAAAAAGTTGTTCCTCTAAAAGAATATATACATAATGCATTTTTGATCAGCTTTAAAATTAAAAGACAGTGAAACCCCATTTCAAATCGTGAATTATTTTTAGTCAGAGAGTGAAAATGGATGGAAGTGATATATACAAGGCTAGTAGAAGTTTTAATTTAGGGAGCGGTCGTACCACTTCGTGGAGGGACGGTGGATTGGATGTTTTCTCCCAGTCAAATCGACATGAAGATGATAATGACGATGAAGAAACTCTGAAATGGGCTGTTCTTGAAAAGCTACCAACTTCTGATAGGTTGAAAAAAGGTCTGCTTTATGGATCTAGTGGATCACCTGATGAGATTTTTGTTGATAATCTTGGATTAGAAGACAGGAAGCATTTGCTCGATAGACTGGTAAAAGTACCTGAAGAAGATAATGAAAAGTTCTTGTTGAAGCTCAGAGACAGAATTGACACGTAATTTGAGCATTAAAAACTTTCAAAAAATTGATTTATTATTATTTTTTTTAAATGCGGTTTTTTTTTTTTTTTTTTTTTTTTTTTTTTTTTTTTTAATGTTCAGGGTGGGAATTCATTTGCCTACAATTGAAGTGAGATTTGAGCATTTGACAGTGGAAGCTGATGCTTTCACAGGCAGCAGATCATTGCCTAGTTTCCTTAATTTCATCATTGAAATCTTAGAGGTATGATATTGCTTGTTTAAGGATTTTTTTTATACATACCAATCTACACTCTACGTACCAATCTAACTTATAAGTTATTTTTAATCATAACCTATTTTGACCATAAATCTTGGTTTTAACTATTCTCAACGAGGTTAACACATCAAACTTTATCACAAATTCACACTAATAACTAATATCCATGTATACATGCTTTGTAATTTCATTTTGTAATTTTTTTACCATTGTTTGTCCTTCTACTTTTAATCAAATGGCAAAAAATACCCCATTCATTATAGTGTATTTTTTTTCTTAATATTTCTTTTTTGTTCTTTCAAGATATAAGATATGTACCTTTTTTTTGTTCTTTCAATATATTTTTTTTACCATTGTTTGTTCTTCACTTGATGCAACTGTCTTTTTTTATTTTTTTATTATTTTTATTTTTTTTAAATTTTTTATTCATGGTCTACTCATAATTCTTTCTAACTTTTGCTAAAGCATGTTTTTTATTTTCTTTATCAAGATTTTTTTCATGATTGTTATAAGGTCACCTTATTTTGTTTTGCTCTTTCATTTCAAATTTGATTTTTACACACTTAAAAAATAAATATATATATAACACGTCCTTGATTTTGGTTTCCCAATCCTATTTTGATTTATTTCAAAAATTATTCAAAACAAAACTAACACAAGTTTAATTATTTCGTTCGTATATATGGTAACATTTAGATAAAATATGTTACGGAAATGAAATAAAATAAGAAAATATTCTAAATTTTTTTGATTTCTGAACGATGCAAAAAGAGTATATATGGTAATTTTTAAATATAGAATGAAAATTAAATATAAGTAAAAAAAGATGGGAATTTGTTCAGAAATTGTGATGTAATATTGGAAACTTTAAAGAAAATAAAAATTTGTTCGGAATTTATGAAAATGAAAAAAATGTATGTTTGTGAATTTAAGACTAAAAGCAATAAAAATTTAATAAAAATTTGTTTTGAATTTTATTTTTTTATAATATTATTTATATTATTATACTATAAAAACATTAGTATTGTTGTTTTCTTTTATCTTACAAAAAGATATCTTTGAAATTATTAATGTTAGTAAAGTTAATAATAAAATATAATTGTTAAATAATAAAGATTTATTGATTAGGTTATAAAGATGAAAGTTAGTCAAATGATAATTATATGGTAAGGATGACCTAAAAAATAAGACTAGTGGTGTACGATGATATATAGAATGGTGTGTGTAAAGTAAGACTTCTTGTTTATTATAGGATCCTACTTTAAAAAATTTATTATAGGATCGTTACATAAAAAATTAATAAAATAACATTTTTTTGTGTAAGCAATGTTTTATGTGTAGAAAAATAGAAAAAAAATTATAGAAACTGATTGATTCTGCGGTCGAACCAGTTAAATCGGGAACCGGTCACTATACCGGTTCCACTAAAACACCGATTTTTAAAACATTAAATGTAAGTATAACGCTCTAATCAGGTGAACTTTCAATCAGATATAGTCTTAAGTGCATTTACAATTATTTTATTTATTTATTTATTTTTATTCTGCTACGTCAAGGTCAACTCAACAAACCATAAAGTTTAAAAATTCTACTATGCTGACCCATACGGTGGGGCAAGCTCGTCGATGGCCCCTGAGCCAACAACGGTTTGGAGCCCCAATATTTATGAATTTATTTGAATTGGTATAATCATTCACTTTCATATTAATAGTCCATTTTTATTTTTAGGTTGTCCCAAAATAATAGTTTATATCTAAAAATAAATATCATTTTTACAAAAACCCCTCATTATTACTTAAATTACCATGAAATTAAATGCAACTACAATGGAATTAAAGATAACAAAAAAATATAATTGTTATTTAATTTAATAAAGTTAATGATAATTGATGTTTCCTTAATCAGTGTGTTTTTTGTCTGTCGATATTAATTTTGAGACGGAGCGCGTATAACAATTATACAGTAAGCACACTGCAAAAAAATAAAGGTGCTTTAGATTTTACGGCAACTACACTTTTTTTTTTTTTTTTTTTTTTTTTTTTTTTTTTTTTAAGATTACATGTTCGAATCCATGCGGTAACACTTTCAAATTTTATACTTAAGCACTAATAATTGTTATATATATATATATATATATATATATATATATATTATATATATATATATATATATATATATATATATATATATATATATATATATATATATATATATGGAAAAATGAATATATCCTTAAAGGTATATAAGCTTAGGTACCCAAACTCACCATACTGCATCGTTTTGTATCATATATAGACATTGTAATTGTCTAATGTTGTTATAATTTAACTTCTAAATTGAATTACTTCAAAGATTTTTATAAATTTCATATTTATCTTCCTCTTACATAATTGTCATTTTCAACAATAATATATACAACCTAGTAAGTGTTCAACAAAAATATGTGATGTAAGAGGAAGATAATAGTGAAAATTTAAAAATATTGAATATAAATCAAGTTAAGGGTTAAAGTTTAACAATATTATAATGAATATATCAAACAAAACGACGTATTATTATGAGTTTGGGTACTTAAGCTTATATACCCTTAAGGGTATATACACTTTTCCCATATATATATATATATAACCTTAAATACCGATTATCAAATTTTTTATAAGTATGTGGTTGAGAGGCGTTGGGTTAGAAGTCCTTTGATGGCTTCTTCGAATCAAGTAGAGTATTCTTTTTAATTAATGTCAATTTTAAAACAAGATTAATTATAAAACTAATTATAATTTAATCAAAATTCCAAATAACGTTAGACGTGACTTGGTGATAATGTCAAGTTTCAAACTTTTACAAGCTGTGACAAGTCACGTCGTTTGAAATTGTGGCTTAATGTGACAATTTTTTATATAATTAATATTTTTATATGTATTTTCTACTATTATTGATAAATATATACATATATATGACTTAAGGTGAGATTTTGTTAAAGCTTGACATTAAATACAAACCTTGGAGATTTTGTGGTTATTCTACAAATGACTCAAAAGTTAGTTATAAAGAAGTAAACTAACATTTATGATGGTAATTTTTATAATTATCCCTTATTAATTTTTTTTAGTAAAAGGCCCTTTTTTGGTTTTGGTTACGGGCCTAAAATATATTAGGATTGACCCTGTAAAGTGGTTTCACCAAGGATATTTATTTGTAATTAATAAGATAAGAAAATATAATTTGTATTATGAAAAAGCTCTATAAATGTAGAAAGCTTGTAAATTCAAAAGCGAAGTGAAAAACTAGTTATCACAATAGCCTTTGATGTTAGCACGTACATGTTTTATGGATATGTATTATTGTATTTGTATTAGTGTTAGTTGGCCCATATATTACCTAGTCCATAGTGTACATGTATATATTTCTATTGTATTGAATTGAAATTTCATGGAAAATATTACCCTTATCATGGTATGAGAGCCTATACCCTAAAATCTATCCATGTCTCTCCAATCTTCCGACCACGAGCCCATGAACTCTCTGTGAAACCTATGAATGCCTTTAACTTTTGACTTTTTCTTTCTTCCTAACAATATCAGGATCAAGCTTTAATCCTCCACCATATGAAATCACCAACATATGTTCATCTCTCCCTCTTATTCTCGATCTTGAGCATCTTAATTATGACGGGTGGTGAGAGCTAATTTAATCTCGTTGTATTGGTTATGATGTTGTCGACCACCATGATGACAAAGCTTCACCAACAAGTATATATCAATAATGGACTTCTATAGACTCTATTGTCAAACTCAGTCCCTATTGCAAATGATTATGAAAAGAAAATACACAATCTTATAACTTAAGTTAAGTCTTGAAACCCTATTTCACGACAATAAAGACACGAAGGTTGTAAAACTTAATAGTGGACTCATAATCATTTCTAATCGCGACTCATCTATCACCAGTTTGCAACACTAGGATCAGAACAATTGTTGATATACTAGACAACATTGACTATATGGTTCTAGATAAGACCTTGGTGGTGTACATGATCATTAGGATTTCCCCGACATATGACTGCATCGCGAGTCTGATATGACACCGATCCCCACTACCTTCTTTTCTAGTGACTCAATACATGCTTCTTTTTGAGGAGCAACGGATAAATCAAATAAGGCATGTTCAAGCTTCTCATTATGACGATTCTTCTTCTCCTGCTATTCTACAAGCCGAGAACCATACTCATAGTAGTGGAAATCATCTCCATGGTAACAAAAAGGAGGATGTGGTGGACATCGTTATTCCTAAGGTAGCTGACAACCTCATATTTTAGCAACAACTGCCAACACCCTCACCTCAACAAGAACATCCGTTGTTGTACCTTGCTTTCTTTGGCTCTATGGTTGGCCCAAGGCACCTTAAAGCTTCTCAATGATCCTACTTCTATCGGTAATGATATGCTTCCTACTCCACCTTAGTAGTAAAGCCACAGGTGACATGCCTAAGACCCAGTACCAAAGTCCTATTGCATGGACTCTCTTACCGGGCTTACAAAACTAACCAGTCATCGAATCAGGTCCAAACCCTTTTCAATGAATCAAGCTCGACCTAACAAAACCTAACTTGGTTTGAACTTACTGTGAACGAGTCTAATATGCAATCCATGTTTCTTCCTTATTTTCTTGGCAACATAAACTTATGGACTATTCAAATGCAGATTGGTTTATGGATTCCGAGGCAGCTAACCCTCTCCACAGTGACTCATGCATTCTTCACTCCACTAGTAATAATCATTGTATTCATAATTATATATTAGTCGAGGACGGGAGCTGATCTAACAAATTCGGGTCATATTGATTTCCTAGTATTAACCCGTAATGTCCTCTTCATCCTCACAATGTCCTTATTACATCACAAATTATCTTGTGTATGCTCTTAAATTCTCTTGTGATAAGAAGTATTCTATTAAATTTAATGTGTTTGACTTTTCTACAGAGGACTTGAAATCCAAACAAACTTTACTCTGTTGTGATAACTCGAGTGATCTGTACCCTTATCACAGTCCCGTCTCCTCAATCCCTTACAACTATTGGTCATTCCACTTGGCATCAACGTCTCGATTACCATAGTAATCAAGGTTTTCAACATTTACTATTTAGTTTGTCTATTATTTGATCTGTTTGGGTAAACATGTACACATTCCTTTCGTTTTTCTAATATCGTTGTTGAGTTTCCTTTCGAGGTGATACACTCTAGACATCTATTTATAATACTAGTGGTCTTTTATATTAGGGAAAATGACTTATAAGCCTAATGAAGTTTTCAAACTGTTCAAAAAACCCAATTATGTTTTGTCTGTTCAAGAAAACCCAACGAACTTAACCTTTTGTCTAAAAAGCCTAACTAACTTACACTTTCGTTCATTTCTCATTTAGGGTCAATCGGCTAATGAAAGTCAATGAATGACATGGCTGATGATGTGTAATTAAATATCGAAAAATGACTTATAAGACCAACGAAGTTTCAAAACCATTCAAAAAACCCCAATCATGTTTTTTTTGTTGAAAAAACCCCAATGAACTTACGCTTTTGTTCAATTCTCATTAGAGGCAACCATATTCATTAGGTATATAACTAGTTGGCAAATGACATGACATTATATGTAATGAAATTGAATAAACATATTTGAATTGTCATTTATATATTGATTTAGAGCTTGGAGAAGAGAAAAATGAATGACATATGTGTTCGATCTCTTGTAATAGCTACTTCTTATTCTTCATCTCAATTGTTGTTGTCCAAATCAAGATATACAAAGAAAATATTTGATGATGCAAACTCTTGTGGATGTAGCCGCCCTTTTTCATATTTGGACATCTAAAATGGAGGATCATCCAGAGATATTGTTTAGGGCTTGTTCGAACAGATGGGTAAGTGTAATTAAAAGCTTTATCATGTCTATTTTAATAACTTTTTGTTTTTGAAAGAAACCAAACAAATAGATAGAATATGAACACGATCCTCCGTTCCAGATGATCCTATATTCTAGATTTCGAAGTTCGAAAAGGACGTCTGTGTTCAATCTCTTGTAATAGCTACTTCTTCTTCTTACTTTCAAGCATTGATGTCCAACTCAAGATCTTCTCTCCTCTTAGCCCTAATCGATAAATAAAGGGCAATTCTAATTTGTTTATTTCATGTCATTAAATATAATGCCATATCACTTTCCAACTAGTTGTATATCTAATGAATCTGGTTGCCTCTAAGGAGAATTTAACAAAAGCGTAAGTTCGTTGGGTTTTTTTTCAACAAAAAAAACATGATTGCGGTTTTTTGAATAGTTTTGAAACTTTGTTGGTTTTACAAGTCAGTTATATTTAATTACATGTCATCAGCCATGTCATTCCTTGACTTTCATTAGCAGTTGACCACAAATGAGAAATGTAAGTTAGTTGGGCTATTTTAGACAAAATGTTAAGTTCGTTGGGTTTTCTTGAACAAACAAAACATAATTGAGATTTTTTGAACGGTTTGAAAACTTCGTTGGGCTTATAATTTTTTTCCCTTAATATTATGCCATCTTCTTGGATGATTTTTCTCGTTTTTCTTGGTATACCCGCTTACACATAAATAGGATGTTTTTTTTTTCAAATTTCTTCATTTTCGCACGTATGTCAAAAACTAATTTAATTCGGTACATTACAACTTTCAAAATTAATAATGAGGTGAATATGATAACAGAATCTTTTACAACCTTTGTGATCAAAATGATATATCTATAAGATTTTCTTGTCCTCTGACTGGATGTGATGTACCATTAACAACACCTTTTGTTCTTTCCTATTTAATGGTCATCTTCCAACGACATTTTGGGTGGAAGCTCTTCACATGTCTTGTCATCTCTTCAACATATTACCTTTCACGACTATCAACAATGACACACCCTTCTTTAAACTCTTAGCTCCCAAAATAACATATAAATATTTGCATATCTTTAGGCGTTTATGTTATCCTGATCGTGTTAGCTCGACTCACAATTTAGCTCCTTACTCATCACCATCCATCTCCCTCGACTGCCTATCCCATCATTGAGGCTTCCGATGCCATGACCATAACTCTTATTCAAAATGAGTGTTCAGTCCCTCGCTTTTATTTAAAGGTTTTAAAGAACCATAATTGTTTTAATGTAATGAATGACAAATACAATGCTCTTATTACTAACACAACATGGAAACTTGTTCAAAGAATGACATGTAGGTGATAATGTTGTTAGATTCATTTAATTATTCAAGAAGAAACATAATACTGATGGATCTTTGGCGCAATACAAAGGAAGTTTGGTTGCTCGTGGAAAAACTCAAAGACCAAGTATCGGCTGCGATGAGACTTTTAGTCCGATTGTCAAACCGGAAAGGAACCACATCGTCCTCAGCTTAGTTGTTTCATATCACTGGCGGATTCATCAGTCGGAAGTGAAAAATACATTTCTTCATGATTATCATCAACTCCATGCTTCTCCAGCTTGAGGTCTTGTTGCTTACACTGGCGCCGATTAAGGGGATGTCACTTGACTAGGAAAACTTCCTCGGGTTATTTTGTATTTCTCGGGAACAACCTTCTATCCTTGTCTTCTAAAAACAAGGTTTTATATACCATTCTATTGCTGAGGTAGAGTATCATGGCGTTATATGGCGTTGCAGAAATTATATGGTTACACCAATCTTTTTCATGAGCTTTACTCTCCGCTCATGAAAGCTACCATTGTTTTTTGTGATAACATCAACACTGTCTATCTATCAAACATCCAAGTCAACATCAGCGGACCAAATGAATTGAGATAAATATATATCCGTTTTTTGTTCATGACAAATATGTCTTGGGACATATTCGTGTAGTTCATATCCCCTCCTCATCACAACTGATGTACATGTTCACTAAAGGGCTTCCTATGTCTGTCTTCCACGATATGAATTATTGTATTTGTATTAGTATTGGCCACTCCGTGTATTGTAATGCCTAGTCCATCGTGTATGTGTATATATTTTTGTTGTATTGAATGGAACTCATCATGGGAAATATTACCCGTATCATGCGAAACTTATTTGACCAGAAAAGCTCCTCAATAAGCTCCTATTGTAGAGGCGGTAATAAGAAATGAAATTGAAAGTACATTGTTGTAATATCTAGAAATGAAAGTAGGGTAGTTTTATGCACAAATACATGAAAGTACTTTGCTATTTTTTGCATTTAGTATCTAGTTCATGTTCATGCTGATTTTTTCAGGGGTTCTTGAATATATTCCATTTACTACCAAACAGGAAGAAGCATATCACTATACTTGAAGATCTAAGTGGAATTATAAAGCCTGGCAGGTGAAAAAAAGCCGAGTTTTAAACTTTTAAGCATTCCATTTGAGTAAACATGAACTATATTAATTATTAATGTTATTCTTTTACAGGACGACACTACTTTTAGGTCCCCCAGGTTCCGGAAAAACAACTTTATTATTAGCCTTGGCTGGGAAGCTTTCCAAAGAGCTTACAGTAAATTACGATGCGTTTACTTTTTTGGATACCCTTTTGAGGAAAACTTATATTATGTTATCTCTCACTTCAATTTTGTTAAAAAAAAAGTTGTTTCTTTGTAACCAGTGGTCAGGAAGGGTGTCATACAATGGACATGATATGCATGAGTTTGTGCCTCAGAGAACATCTGCTTATATCAGTCAAAATGATCTTCATATTGGTGAAATGACTGTTAGAGAAACCTTGGCTTTTTCTGCTAGATGTCAGGGAATTGGATCACGTTATGGTTAGTTAGCATAATCCTAGGCCTAGCCGTTGATTTCTAAACTATCTCAACCTGTGTGTTTTTCACTATTTATCTTGTGGTGGGATATTTTTACTGAAATAGTTCTTGTCCAATAAATTACAGAAATGTTGGCAGAATTGTCAAAAAGAGAAAAAGATGCAAATATTATGCCCGATCCTGATATTGATATATACATGAAGGTAATAAAGGAGTTACATTAGGTTAATATGCCGTAGGGGCTGCTTTTTTTTTTCTTTCTCCATTTGGTCTTGCTTGGGTAAAAGGGCTTAAATATGGGTAATGATGTTTCTCTGAAGTGTTGTATACATAAGTTTGTTTCTTTTTTGGATCGAATAAACAATCTCAATGAGAGACGAGTAGGGAGAAACAAAGGACAAACAGGTAAAGGGTTAGTGTCTTGATACCTTAAGCCAATTTTTTCAGGTTATTCCATTAGTCATTCTTTCCAGCTTAATTAAGTTAAACGAAACAACGATACATAGGTTTCCCGATTAAATGTTTTACTTATTACGCTCATTAAGTAAAAAAGAAACAACCCCTTGACTTAACTTGAAAAAGAAAATAACTTGTGATTGTTCTATGATGCTTTAGGCTGCAGCAAAAGAAGGTCAAGAGACAAGTGTGGTCACAGATTATATTCTCAAGGTATACTACAAAAACTAAAAATTATTGACTTCCAAAACATTAAATTATAACAATATTGTTTTGTGTCCCATTTAGATCTTGGGACTAGATATCTGTGCAGATACCATGGTAGGGGATCAAATGATAAGAGGCATATCTGGTGGACAAAGAAAACGTGTCACTACAGGTAATTAATTAATCTTTCGAATGACATATAGAGAGATTGTCATTTGATACATGTTTTATGGATTTGATGAAAACGTGTAGGTGAAATGATAGTGGGCCCATCAAAGGTTCTTCTTATGGATGAGATATCTACGGGTTTAGACAGTTCTACAACGTTTCATATTGTGAATTCTTTCAGGCAATATATTCAGATTTTTGAAGGAACTGCTGTTATTTCGCTCCTACAGCCTGCACCCGAAACGTATAATCTATTTGATGACATAATATTGCTCTCGGATGGCAAGATTGTGTATCAGGGTCCACGTGAAAAAGTGCTTGAGTTTTTTGAATCAATGGGATTTAAATGTCCAGAAAGGAAAGGTGTTGCTGACTTCTTGCAAGAAGTAAGTGTGATTTCTAGATTTGTTTCGGCTTCTTTTTATGCAAACTAACAAATATGGATGTAACTAACTTCTTAATTGCTAAGATCATCTATAGTAGGAGCTTTTTCAATAGTATTTTTGGATGAAAAAGCCTATCTCCTATGGTGTTCGCTTTTTCATTCCCAAGCTTTTTCAAAAAGTTTTTTGGGTGAGAAAGCTCCTGAAAAAACTTACTTCCTATTACTGGTAGCTTTTACATCTACAAGCTCTTTCAATAAGCTAGTGTAGTTACAAGCTGTTACATGAGCTTTTTCATCATTTTTAATATATGTTATTTATTTTAGTGTAATAAAAAATACACCAAAAATAACTACTAATTTGATAATGGGACCCACAAATAAGCTTATTGAAGAAGCTTTGCTTTGCTATATAGTTGACATATGTTAAAGCTTTTTTGGATTGTTGAGGTGACTTTTAATTACCTAAAAGGCCAACCAGGTCAACACATCACCAAAAGAAAAAGTCAAAAACCTCAAAATATCCACTTTTCACTAAGCTTATTAACAAGTCATATCAATTTCAGTTTATATCATTTATTTTATATAAAAATAACTAAAATTAAATTTAAAATAACTAAGTAGTATATTTAATTTTCGTACTAAAGAAAATAAATTTCAAATATATACAATTTAATTGAGATCTACTTACTCCTTTTATGTAAATAAATATATTCAAAGTTTAATTATATTGAATAAATAGTATATACATACATTATCTTTCTACAAACAACAAATGAAAATAGATAAAACTTAAGTATTAAGCAATATTTCATTACAATACTTGAAATATAATATAATATAATAAATGTTTATTTAATGTTACCAGTACTTCTAATTAACTTTTTCTTACTTACATTTTTATAAAACTAAAAAAACTGGGTTAGTGAGTTTTAGAAAATTTACATTAAACGGCATAACATTTTTTATCTGTAATATAATAAGCTAAAAGAATAAAAAATAAAATGAATCATGAAAAAGCTCAAATGGTCAAGCTTGTAATTTTTAACAAGCCAAATGAAAAAGCTCCGCTATAGCGTATTTGACTTTCAAGAACTTACTATATTTGACAAAAAAAATGCTTATGTAAAAGCAGAGCGCTCAAACACACATATCTCCATAGGTAACATCAAAGAAAGACCAGGAGCAATACTGGATAGAGAGAGACCAACCTTACAGGTTTATCACAGCCAAAGAATTTGCTGAGGCATACGAATCCTTCCATGAAGGAAGGAGAATGGCAGAAGAGATTTCAATCCCATATGACAAAAACAAGAGCCATCCTGCTGCACTGACAACCAAAACATATGGAGTCAACAAAAAGGAGCTCTTGAAAGCCTGCATGTCAAGAGAATTTTTGCTTATGAAGAGAAACTCTTTCGTCTACATCTTCAAACTATTTCAAGTACGTACTCAATTAAGTTGGAGGGCTTGTATATATCTTTTTTATTTAATGGGCTTAATGTGTTAAGCATTTAATTGGAATATATATATATATACACACACACACACAGTTTTTTCTATTTTGACTTAATAAAGACATTATGACTTAATGAGTTAAGCCAAAAATATGGCTTTTTGTATTAAGACACTAACCCTTTACCTTTTCTCTATTCTTTTTTCTTCTCAACTCTTGTCCCGTTAAAATCGATGAAAATTATAAAATTTATTTTATCGAATGTAATGGTAAAATTGTCATTTAGTCTCATGAAGATGTTTATAAAGAAAGAAACAAACAAATCTTATGTATATAATACTTTATGTGGAGAGACATCATTGCTCATTCAACTGGTTTTTATAAGTTAATATGAGAAAAAAAAAAAAACAATCATATATTAATGTTTCAAAGATTAATTCTAAAACCTAACGAATTTATTTTCTTACCTACTTTCAGCTTCTTGTGATGTCATTTCTGACAATGACAGTCTTTTTCCGAACCGAAATGCACAAAAGGTCGGTGGAAGATGGAGGGATATACACAGGTGCACTCTTTTTTGGTGTAACTACGATCATGTTCAATGGATTTTCTGAGCTTTCCATGACCATAGCAAAGCTTCCTGTGTTTTACAAGCAAAGGGATTTCCTGTTTTACCCCTCGTGGGCTTACACACTTCCTTCATGGATCATCAAGATTCCCAGCTCATTTATGGATACTTTTCTTTGGACTCTTCTTACATATTATGTAGTTGGATTTGATTCAAATGTTGAAAGGTTTGTTGCTTCAAATTAACTAACATTACTTGTTTTCCTCCTAGGGCGTAACATATATGACTAAATAATCTCCTTTTTACAGATTCTTTAAACAGTATTTGCTACTCTTTCTCGTCAACCAGATGGCATCAGGATTATTTCGCTTTATTGCAGCACTAGGTCGAAATATGATTGTTGCAAGCACATTTGGTTCATTTGCACTTCTCATACTATTCGCTTTGGGTGGCTTTGTCCTATCACGAGGTACATATGTTCTATTTAATTAGCCAGTGTTTGGTATATGCAGCAATAGACGAGGGAATAAAACTTAAGCATTATGATAGAATAAAAAAAAAAATCATGTTTGTTTTTCATATATGAATGGAATGCGACATTCCTTTCTTCTCAGCTGATTTTCATTCTATGGGGGATGGATGTTAATTTTTACATTCCTTCATGGCATAGCTGAATATATTACAACTATGCTTGAATGAGTCCTTTGTTCATTCAAGCCAACAAAATATAATAATGAAACATAATGACCCATTCCATTCTATTGTCTTTTCATTCTTTTGCGATATCACTACATCACCCCCAATATACTCTTAAACAAAAGAAAATCTTCCATCAACTATTGATTAAGAAATGTGGTGTTTTTTGCAATATCACAGATGCTATAAAGTCTTGGTGGATTTGGGGATATTGGTCATCACCAATGATGTATGCGATGAATGGGATTGTAGTTAATGAGTTTCTTGGACATAGTTGGAACCGAGTAAGTCATTTAAATACCACAATTATATATATATATATATATATATATATATATATATATATATATATATATATATATATATATATATATATATATATATATATATATATATATATATATATATATATATATATATATATATATATATATATATATATATATAGAGAGAGAGAGAGAGAGAGAGAGAGAGCAACTTTTGGAGGGAAAGGTAACAAATGTACTATTTGCCTGTTTTATGATGAACTAAAAAATAAATCATTGAATAATGATAAATAATATCATCCACAAAAAAACCTCGAAAAATACAGAAGATTCATTTTTGTAATGATTCAATAAAATTGTTCGAAAAAACGAATCAAAATTTGATTCAACAAAAGGTGAGATGTATTTTTAGCAAGTTTTTTTTGCAAAAATTATGTTACTTTTGCATTATCAAATGATTAATTTTATTGTTTTGGCAAAAACATACAAATAATACACTTCTTATAAAATCTACCAAATTTTTACTGCTTATTTCACTCAAATTATATATATATATATATATATATATATATATATATATATATATATATATATATATATATATATATATATATGTGTGTGTGTGTTTGTGTGGAAAACCTTAAAAAAAACCTTACCTATTATTCTCTAATGCAGAAACAACCATTATGTTATTATTTCGTATGCTTTTGCCTATGTTGGATTGTTATGCTTCATGTGTGGAACCAATAAAAAATTCATCAAGTATGCTTTCTCAACAAAAAAAAATATGGGCCTAGAAATGTAAAGATTTTATTGTATAAAACAAGAATATAAAATGGTTTTATTATAAAAAAACCATAACATAAAATAGTTTTTATTGTACAAAACTATAACATAATGGTTTTTTCACGTATTAGATAATAATAATTGACTTTATTTATAACCACAAATGCTAGATAACCAAATATCAAGGGTTTGTCATTTACGAAGCATTATTTTAGGTATTACTAAAAGTAAAATGGTTTTATTATACATAATAATAATAACATAATGGTTTTTCCATCGTTAGGAGATAATAAGTTAAGTTTTTGCAGAGTTCCCCCGCACAAGAGCGCGCGCGCGCCCACATATATATATATATATATATATATATATATATATATATATATATATATATATATATATATATATATATATATATATATATATATATATATATGTTCATTCAAGCTAACCGTTTTTAACATTAAGTACAGGTATTGACTAACTCAACAGAGTCCCTAGGAGTGAGGATTATAACATCTAGAGGTTTCTTCCCATATGCATATTGGTATTGGATTGCAGTAGCGGCTTTGATTGGATATGTGTTCCTCTTCAACTTTACCTACACGCTAGCTCTCACATATCTCAATCGTACGTATCCATCCATCCTTCTTCTTATTTATGAATTAATTCATAGAGCTTTAACATAATAAGAACAAATATGCAGCTTTGGAGAAGTATCAAGCTATTATATCAGATGAAAACGAAGCCCAAAATCCTTCAACTGTTGAGTTACATTCCATGAGCAAGAAAAAGGGAATGATTCTTCCATTTGAACCACATTGTATCACCTTCGATGATGTTAAATACTCAGTTGATATGCCGCAGGTAGTTATAAACACACTTGTTATAAACTTATTTTAGTTCCTACTTCCTAATATTAATCAAGACTCTTTATCATATTTGATTGAAACCAATGAACTTTGGCGTTAAAGGAAATGAAAGAGCAAGGAGTAGTTGAGGATCGATTGTTGTTATTAAAGGGTGTGAGTGGGGCATTCAGACCGGGTGTTCTTACAGCATTAATGGGTGTTAGTGGTGCTGGTAAAACTACTTTGATGGATGTGCTGGCAGGAAGGAAAACAGGTGGATATATAGAGGGTAATATTGTCATTTCAGGGTACCCAAAGAAGCAAGAAACTTTCGCTCGAATTTCAGGATACTGTGAACAAAATGACATCCACTCACCTCATGTCACAGTACATGAGTCCTTGATTTACTCTGCTTGGCTAAGGCTGCCAGCAGATGTTGATGCTGAAACCAGAAAGGTAAGGAATATATTGATCATTTTTTACTAAAAGACTTAAGCGATTAAGCCACAAAACCAGGCTTAATGTATTAAGACACTAACACTTTACTAATTTTTTTTTTTTCTTTTTTCTTTTATCCTCCCAACTCCTGTCATTTTAAATTGATGAATATTGTTTAAATTTATGAATATTGAGGAAAACATGGAATGTAAGGGTAAATTGGTAATTTACTTCAATTCATATGGATTATTCATTCTAGAAAAGAAACAACTCTTATGTATATAACATATTATCCACACAAAAATTTATTACTCATTCAACAACTTTACTTATATAAAACTTAACTCGAAGAAAAACAGCCCCTAAGGAGAATTTAGACTTAATAGTAAAGCTACATGTGCAGATGTTTGTTGATGAGGTGATGGAACTTGTGGAACTGAATCCGTTGAGAGATGCATTAGTAGGGTTACCTGGGGTCAACGGGCTATCAACTGAACAGAGAAAGCGGTTAACCATAGCGGTTGAGCTGGTGGCTAACCCATCTATAATATTTATGGATGAACCAACATCTGGTCTTGATGCTAGAGCGGCTGCTATTGTCATGAGAACTGTTAGGAACACCGTGGACACGGGTAGAACCGTTGTGTGCACCATTCATCAACCTAGCATTGATATATTTGAAGCTTTTGATGAGGTATAATATATTAAGGATCTCTTGTAATATCATATAATATTGAATATTAACTTAATGAAGGAAGTAGTGACACTTCTCTTTCTGATCAAACCGATACATGTTCAAACTGCTATTGAGTCGTCATCAAATCTAACAAATTGATTGGGATTGTTTGATAACCTCTAGATGGAATCATTTAGAGGTCACCTCTGAATTGGTTAGCATTTGACACGTTTGATGAAGCCTGTGAACGGTTAAGGAACCTTACCTTCTCTTAATGATTAAGAGGTTGGAATCATTCGACACTAAATGATTCAGTTTAATCGATCAGCCCCTAACACTACTCTTTCAATATCTTTTTGTAAAGATAACAAAACTTTACATTCGGGATTATACTTCCTGAATGGGAATACTAAAATTTATATATGGGTTGCAGCTATTTTTGATGAAGCGAGGAGGAGAAGAGTTATATGTTGGACCAGTCGGTCATCATTCCTGCCATTTGATCAAGTATTTTGAGGTAATTAACGTTACATTATTAACAAGTTTTAAATAATAAAACACAATTTGCATAAATGGTTTAAAATGTGATACACTACTGGGCATTCTAGGATATCGAAGGAATAAGTAAGATCAAAGACGGTTATAACCCTGCCACATGGATGTTAGAAGTTAGTACCTCAGCACAAGAAATGGCTCTTGGAATTGATTTCACACAAATCTACAAAAACTCTGAACTTTACAGGTAAGTCAACTAGTCAATTCCAATAATTTCATTTCATTAAATTGTTTCGTGATTTTAGTAATGTCTTACACTTATTGATAGGAGAAATAAAGCACTTATTAATGAGCTGAATATACCAATTCCTGGATCAAAAGATCTTTATTTCCCAACTCGATACTCTCAGTCTTTCTTCACACAATGCATGGCTTGCCTATGGAAACAACGCCTGTCATACTGGCGAAATACTTCTTACACTGCAGTAAGATTTTTATTCACTTTGGGAATTGGATTGATGTTTGGGACAATGTTCTGGGATCTAGGTGGCAGAAGGTTAGATACTTTAAGAGTGATAGAATTGAATACATCTCAACTTAGTTTTGTTTTTTTATTAATTTACTCGTGTGATTGTAATTTCAGGACATCACAACAAGATTTGATTAATGCAATGGGTTCTATGTATGCTGCTGTTCTTTTTATTGGGACCCAAAATGCGTCATCTGTGCAACCAGTGGTTGCTGTTGAGAGGACAGTCTTTTATAGAGAAAAAGCTGCAGGAATGTATTCCGCCCTATCATATGCTTTCGCACAGGTACTTCAAGGGCTTTTTTTTTCATTAATTCCTATATGGATTAAGTGGTGTTGGAAACAAACCAAAGACATAGAATCTGTTGGAGAGATTGTAGGAAGAAACTTATGAAGAAGATGGATTCTTGTACAACAAAACAAAGATTTCTTATCAAAACGCCAAGAATAACATTTACATCTGTTTACATATGTATATATAGAAATTAAACCAACTTGACTCTTCAGCCCTAACCATCACACCCGTTCATTTTACGGTTAAAATAACTATAACTACCCTAACTGTCACATAACTGTAACTGCCACATAATCTATTACTAAACTAACACCTAACACTAATAATAAGTTTAGCTTATTATTCAGCAAGTGGTTGAATAGGTAACGAATTCTATCTAGACAAATTAAGTGTTGTATACATATGGTATGTTTCTTTTCTAGAACAAATAACCGGCTAAATGAGACTAGAAGACCGTTTATCCTTACTTTCTAACAAACAATTTTCACAATATTCATAACTTTTGACAGTAATCATCGAGTTTAACATGAGAGGAGGTTGGAGGAAAAAAGAAGGGGAAATAGATGAGGGTTAGTGTCTGAATACATTAAGCCATGGTTTTTTTTTTTTTTTGCTTAATCTTTTAAGTCATTCTGTCCGGATTTAGGAAAAAAGGAACAACTATGTATAGTTTTCAACATAATGTGCTTAACCCATTAAGTAGAAAAGAAACAACCCCTTAGTACATAACTCTTAACAGGATTTGTTATAAATGTGAACCTACTGTTAAATTCCTTTCGCAGGTTCTGGTGGAACTACCCTACGTGTTTGTACAAACATCAACATACGGTCTCCTAGTGTATGCAATGATTGGATTTCAATGGACAACAGCCAAATTCTTTTGGTATTTATTTTTCATGTACCTCACCTTACTATACATGACCTTTTATGGCATGATGACTGTGGCCATGACACCCAACCCCACTATTGCTGCCATTGTTGCTGCCTCATTTTATGGAATATGGAATCTCTTTTCAGGATTTGTTATCCCACGAACTGTAAGCTCCATTAATCCTCAACATTTTTGCATCAAATTTGAGATTTACAATCTTTCCTTATTAATTACACATATGTTCTTGTTCTCCATTTTGTAAACAGAGGATACCTATTTGGTGGAGATGGTACTATTGGGCATGTCCGTATGCTTGGACTCTTTATGGATTGGTTACTTCACAGTTTGCAGACTCTGAAGATATGCTTGAGAATGGTGAAACTGTAAAAGATTTCTTGGAGAGATATTTTGGATTTGAGAGAAGTTTTCTTGGTGTAGTTGCTGGTATGCATGTTGGATTCACCCTACTATTTGCATTTGTCTTTGCCTTTGCCATCAGGTCGTTTAATTTTCAAAGGAGGTAGGTTAATTATCAGGGAGTTTAAATATGAGCATTCTATTGAAGATGAAACACATTGTTACGTTAATGCATGACATATGATTTGTGTTAGCCTAATAAGATTTTGGGCTTTATTTTGTATTGGATATTATGTTGGCACATTAGTTAGGAAACCCTAATTAGTTAGCCTATAAATTATTTCTCCCTTTCATTGTAATTGTACTTCCCATTTGATAATAATATGAAACCCTAGCCATTCTATGTCTTTTTTTTGTTAGTTTACATCGTATCATAGCGCAATTGATTATTTGTATTTTCGTTTTTGAGGGTGAGTTGTAGTAGGCACGACGTTGGGAAGATCGAACTGTATTATGCTTGGAAAATTTTAAGAGTTTGGGTATGATTTCCTACTTTGTTTTTTTATTCTGCTCTGTATGATTTGTTCGATTTATTTCAAGATCTTGATTGTTGCTGCGGCTATTTGTATTTGTTGTTGGTTTTGTTTATTTTCATTTGACTATTATTGGAAGTATGACCCCGAAAGATGACTCTCTTCAATCCATTAGTACCTAACGCGATGGCAAGAACTATGCCTATTGGAGTTATTTTATCAAGAATTTCTTGTGAGGTAAGCACATGTGGTGGATTTTTAAAGGTGACAAGAAAAACCAACAAATGACAAGGTTGTGAATTATGCAATCTTACTGGATTTATGGGAGATTGATAACTCCAAGATCATTACTTGGATTAGTAATTATGTTATCCAATCTATTGGTACTTAGTTAGCGAAGTATGATACAACAAAAAAGGTTCGGGATCACTTGGATAGGCTGTTTACCCAGTCTAATTTTGAAAAACAGTACCGGTTAGAGTTTGATATTCGAGCCCTCCAACTGAAACAATCATAGTGTTCAGGAATTCTATGTAGCTATGTCGTATTTTTGGGATCAGTTGGCTCTTACAGAACCTGTTGAGTTGAGGCTTTTAAGCCTTATACTGATAGAAGGGAAGAGCAATGTTTGGTTTAATTATTGATGGAATTACGTTTATATTTTGAAGGCTTGCGTGGATTAATCTTTCATTGCACACCTCTTCCCTTTGTTCATTCGGTTGTTCACGAGTTTATTGCTGAAGAAACTCGTATCAAGTCCCATGCTAAAAAAGGTCCCAAGACAGCCATTCCTCCTGTCTTTGTTGTTCCACAATGACCTTAGTCGTCAAACCAGAATTGTCTCAAATTTGCATTTAATGAGTGTGCTTTCTATAATAAGAAGAATCACCGGAAGGAAAACGGTCTTTTGTTGTTAAGCATGGGAAATCAGCAACAACAACAAACCAGATCACTTGCACAGTCTCAACCTTCACAAAAGAACAAGTCTCGGTTACCTTCCTCATTTCCATATTTTAGCTCACCACAGTACGCTGCTGTTGCACCTTTAGTTGAGAATGAGACAAAATTTTCACCACCATCCGCCTTGGATCCTCAGATTGTTGAGCAGTTCAAATAGTTCATTCTTGCCAATCAAATTTCCATGTTAGCTTCCATAAATCATTCAAGTCTATCCTCATGCATCACTTCATGTATTCCTTCATACTTGTAGATATTGGGTTTTGGTTCATCTTATCACATGTCACCACATTTGTCATCTTTTGCTTTGTTATCACCTCGTCTACCTGTCTCTGCTATGTCTGCTAGTACTACACATATGTCAGTAGAGGGTGTTGGTTTTATTGTCACTCTTTATATATCTTTAATAGATGCCAGTTATTTGTGTACGTATGGTTGTTGGTTCATCTTTTCTGATTCGTTCTGCTATGTATAAGACATTCGATCTCGGAGGGTGATTGGAATGGGTTGTAGACTTGGGGAGCTTTATATTTTGGAACAACTACATTTTGATGATGTTGTTGCCTCTAGTGTCGATTTGTTGTCTTTTCGGTTAAGTTTTTCGTCATCTGTTTTTTATCTTTTGCATTCTCGTTTGGGACATGTGTTAGCGTCACGTTTACAGTTTTTGGTTTCTACTGGTGTCTTAGTTCTTTAAAAACTGATGATATTTCTGATTGATTTGGTTGTAGATTGGGAAAATTTTTTGCTTTATCGTTTAATAAAAGTGTCACTCATTCTATTTCTCCCTTTGATATTGTGCATCCTGATGTGTGGGGCTCATCCCGGTCACCTCTAAATTGGGATCTAACTATTATGTTTCATTCATTGATGATTACACTCGTTATATGCGAGTTTATTTTATGAAACGCAAGTCTGACTTTTTCACCATATATAGTGACTTTAGAGCTTTTTCAAGACTCAACACTAGGATGTCATAAAATGTTTTCGGTGTGATTTGGGCAGGGAATTTACCTCCAATGATTTTAAATAATTATTGGAATCTGATGGTATTGTGCATCAATCATCATGTACATACACCCCTCAACAGAATGGTTTTGTAGAAAGAAAACATCGGCATCTCCCAGAAATTGAAAAATCCTTGCTACTCTTTACTCAAGTTCCCAATATGTTTTGGGGAGATGTTGTTCTACCTCCACTTACATTATTAAGTGCATTCCTACTACACACACTTCAGGGAATATTCCTTATGAAATGTTGTTTGGGCAACTTTCAGATTATTCTTCATTATGAGTGTCTGGTTGTACCTATTTTGTATTGAAGCCTCATGTAGAGAGATATAAGTTCTCTTCAAAATAAGTTCTTTGTATATTTTTGTGATACGATATTGGTCAGAAAGGTTATCGATGTTATGATCTATCGAATAAAAAGTTATATGTCTCTCATAATGTGACCTTTCTGGAGCACATTATATTCTATATCATTCCTGTTCAATCACATGTGTAACTCGAGAGGAGCTTCCTACGATTGATCCTTTTAACATTGTCATTGATGATCCACCACCTGCTCCTAATCCACCACATGTCATTGATCCTCTTCCTGCAACTCATCAGGAACCCCCATCATCGAGGCCTTATCATAATTAGAAGTTCACAAAGGTTCCTAAGTTTGTCTAATCCTTTTACTTACCAGTGTTTGACTCCTTTATTGCTAATGTACATCATCTTTCTAAGCTAGCATCCTACAAAGAGGTCATCTTTGATCCCCTTTGGTAGACTGTTATGGCTGAGGAACTTGTAGCTATTTATCAGACTAATACATGGGATACGGTTCTGCTTCCACTTGGAAAACACAATATTGGTTGCCGTTGGGTATGTAAAATCAAAACAAATTTTTATGGATCATTTGAGCATTATAAAGCCATACTTGTTGCGAATGGGTACACACAAAAGTATGGTATGGATTTTGAGGAAACTTTTGCTTCTGTTGCAAAAATGACGACTGTTCGCACCTTGATTGCAGTTTTATCCATTTGCCAATTGAAGATTCATCAGATGGATTTTAGGAATGTGTTCTTGAATAGTTATCTTCATGAGGAAGTATACATGTGTCCTCCCCCAGGTATTTCTCACCAAACACGTGAAGTTTGTCGACTTCGGAAGGCACTATATGGTGTCAAACTAGCCCTTCATGCTTGATTTGGAAATTTTCTCCATTGATTAATTTGGTTGGCTTTCAACCAAATAATCATGATTTGTCTCTATTTGTTCGATGTACAAGTGCACGTCAAATTACTATTTCCTTATATGTCAATGACATGACAATTACTAGTGATGATTATGACAGTATAGAGTCTTTAAAGCATGATTTGGCTCACCGTTTTGGTATGAAAGACTTGGGATTGCTACGTTATATATTGGGGATTGAAGTTGCTCAATCTCCAAAGGGTTATATTATTATCTCAAATGAAGTATATTTCAAATTAGTTTGAACAAGCATGACTCACGGATAATCGGACAGTTGATACACATATAGAGAGTAATGCAAAGTATTCTCCAACTGATGGCATCCCTGATAGATGCCAATTTTATGCATCTTTTAGGGTAGTTTTTATTAGAATTTAGCATCATATTTTACACATTTTCGTGTCATTATTTTAAATAATGTTTAGCTCATGTCATTCGTTAGAATTCTCGTACTACTCATGTTTTTATGTTGTTTTCAAATAATTTGAGTGGTGCAATACTTTAGGAGCAGCTTTGAATGTATTGAATGGAGCATTGGACTTAACTGGAGAATTTAGCTTATGAAGGATTCTGAGGAATGCTTGGAAGACGTTTTGGTCAAGAAAAATCCGATCGAATTGATCCGACGAAGTTAGATTGCTACATTTTAAAGCATAAACGATGTTGCTGGCATCTTTGACCCCTTGTCATTATTTTAACCATATCTCATGACTCGTAACTCCGATTGAAAAGATTCAAAATGTTCCGAAAACTAAACAAAATTTAGGACGACTTTCATGTTTGGTAAAAAACAAAAATGCGACTGCGTTTTTTCCAATATGCGATCGAATTTGTTCGCCGAGGTTTTCTAGGGTCAAAAAATGATCATGGGAAGAAGAATCAATAAAAAGCAATCACATTTCCCCATTCTGCGATCGCATTTCCACTCCCTAGCCTCAAAAATCTCATAAATAGCGTCATACTTCATTAAACGGTGATTCGGAAAAATTTGGGATAAAATGTGATCACATTTTTCTTATTCTTGCTCCAGAAGATACATGCTTTCATATAAATATAACCCTCCTGATCATATTCAAAGAGAAAGTGATTCCACACAATAAAAAAAACCCTTCTGAAGACGATTTTTTATACTTTTCATCACTTTCTAAAGATCTGAAGGTTGTGAATCATCTCCTACAATTTTAATTCGTTTTTACCCATGTATGGCTAAAACTCTAGTTTTCAGTTCTACAATAGACTAGTACTTTTCATGTGATCAATTATCAGATTTGGTTTTCATTGTGTGCTACTATCTGGTTGTTTCTGTTTTGAGCTTAATGAATGTTTAATTTTTAATTATCGTTAGTCTGATCACCTAGCTAGGGTTTAATCATTCCAGTTAATCAGTTAATCGAATCCGTAATTGTTCTTGTCAACTAATAATAAGTAACAAGTATCAGATTGGTTCCATGTTGGGATTTAACTCTAATAAAAACTGAAATTCCATATATTTACGCTTCCGAGCTTGTGAGAAGTATTGAGTATTGTTGGGAATTTTACACCGATTTTAATACAACTCTTCTGAACTGAATTAAGAACTTGTTTAGTTAGACAGTAAAAAAATAAGGTTAACTGAAGAGATTGTTTTGGTTAATTTAACTAGGTAAAAGAGATTATACTAGAGTTTGTTAGCTTTCTCAGTATCAGCTTAGATAGA